CGAAGATGGTCCCAAAAGTGCTCACTGACGAACAGAAATTGCGGCAAGTGGAAGTGTGCCAAGAAAATTTGTACATGTGTGAAAGTGACCCCCAATTTTTGAATAACGTAATCACAGGTGACGAGTCGTGGATGTTTGAGTATGATCCCGAGACAAAGAGGCAATCTTCCGAGTGGCACACGACGGCGACTTCTCGCCCTAAAAAGGGAAGAATGAGCAAATCCAAAGTGAAAACGATGCTCGTTGTCTTTTTTGACATCAAAGGCATTGTCCACCATAAATTTGTTCCTCCTGGACAAACCGTCAACGCCAAGTTTTACGTGTGCTCAGGAGACTCAAACGAAGGGTCAGTCGGGTCCGACAAGACATCGCAGCCGACTGAAAGTTGCACCACGACAACGCCCCGGCTCACATCGCCTTTCTTGTGAACAGCTACCTGACCAAGACCGGCATCCCAACGCTTCAGCCCAGATGTGTCTCCCCCCCCGGACTTTTTTTATTTCCTCGCCTGCAAAGGCTGATGAAAGGCAAGCATTTTGAGACGACAGAGGGGATCCAAGCAGCATGCACCGCGGCTCTCAAGGCTATTCCGGAGAATGCCTTCCGTGACGTCTTTAATGCTTGGAAATCGCGCTGGCAGCGCTGCATCGACGCAGAAGAGCCTATTTTGAAGGTTTTTAAAGAATTGTAACGATTGGCTCAATAATTTTTTTAAGTCGACTCAGTCCTATTACTTTCCGGACAAACCCTGTATATATCACTTGTGCGATCGTTCTATAGACCTCTTATCCCCTATAGAAAGATACTTTTCTTTTCTATTTTTATAAATTTAGCTGCACACTTACATCAAATCTTATTGGCCATAGCATGGGAGAACCCTACAAATGACGGATATGGTTTTAAAACTTGGCTCACTTGTTCAAAATTTCTCGCACAACTAGGCACCATTTCCTTGAAAGTCTCGATATTTGGCTACTGTTTGGCAAAAACACCCTACCCAAGCAAAACCTTGCATATACAAGAGAAGGCTTTTCGAATAAAATACATGCCTTGCAACGGAAATATAAAAATATACATTCTAAACTCAAGTTTTAAATTATAATAAGTAAGGTACCGTCGGGTAATAAGGCCGGACAGGTAATAAGGCCATACAGTTAAAAATCTCATAGAAATAAATATATCATAAGCCTAGCGCCATCTGTACGTAGGATGACTTCAACTGATCCAAATAACATGTGGCTGAAGAGCGTCAGATACTCCGCTTGGAAACAGTGCGCCGTAAACAAAATTCGTTACATTTCAAGTGCTGCGCTATAAAATTTCTCGATAAAAGGTATGTGATATTTTCACTAGTACAATTGAAATCTGTCTATATTTTGGAACATATAGATTTATCCTGATGTCGACAACACTTGTAATCTGTTCATTGAAATATTTTTTTTATTTTTTAATGATATTTAACCTCAAAAATTATAAACGTGCCAGACAGGTAATAAGGCCCGGGCCTTATTTCCTGTCTAGACAGATGATAATAAGGTCACTGCTTTATTGCCTGTCACAATGACTTAAAAATAACCTAACGTATCTAGAAATAAAGCACATCTTAAAATTATGTATGCTACATAAATAATATGTACATACATGAGTTTTTTTTCTGACTTATGGTTTTCCTATTTACAGACATGGGGAAAAAGAATCGCGGAATAAGGGCAAAATGGACAGACGCAATGATGGAGGAAGCACTGCGACTTGTGCGACTTGGTCATTCCCAAGCATCGGTAGCAATACGCTGTAATATTCCCCGTCGTACATTGAGAAACCATTTGAAAACTGGTTCAACCAAACGAGTCCTCGGTACAAAAACCCTTTTAACTGAACAACAAGAAAACGATTTGGTTGAAAAGATAATACGGTTTGCACAAAAAGGATTTCCACTAACCTCTAAAGTGCTTCGTCGTACCGTTTATAAATTTTGTGAACGACTTAATGTTAATCATAAATTCGATAAAGAGAAGCAATTAGCAGGAAAAGAATGGTACCGAGCATTCTTGAAGCGACACCCAAATATTTCGCAGCGAAGGGCACAGCAATTAAATCCTGCTCGTGCACAGAAATTAAACCATTTTATTGTGGATGATTATTTTGAGAAGCTGAACAACCTTTTGGAGAGAACTGGCCTTAAATATATGCCTGGTAATATCTATAATATGGACGAGAAGGGCTGTAGACTCATGCTACACCATCAGCAGAGGGTTCTAGCAGAGAAGGGAGCTAAAAGAGTGCATTTGATAGGGTCAGAACATGGAGAAAATGTAACCATTGTGGCATGTGCAAATGCGCTCGGCAATGCGATACCTCCAATGATTTTATTTAAAGGGCAGAGATAGTGGCGGCCGGTCCATAGGGGCGAAAAGGCTACAGCCCCCCAAGACAAAATGCGAATTAACAAAAATTTAAAATATGATTTTGTGATTAAATAATTTCCGGATATATACGAAAATTCAATCAAAACCTGAATTTTAATAGTAGCCAGTTACGCAACACGCAATATATATATATATATATATATATATATATTATCCGATCCCAATACCCCGAAGTCGCGAGCTAGATTCCCTATCGATTCGAGGCTAGAATAATTTTTGCCGCGATCGCCGACCTGATTGAGTGGCTCGCTACGTCACACCCCCCACGCGCTTACGAGTTTTATACGGGATTTTAACACGCGAGGTGGCGAAATAATTTTTAGCCAGTCCCGATTTACGTGTGTACGAAATCGCTTCGTCGCGTCCCCGTGCCGTCGTTCGGGCGTTCAAAAAGTTTAAAATGGCAAATGAAGTACAAAATTTGTTAAAAGGTGAATTTTCTCGGCTTCCGCTTGCTGAAAAAATAATAATAAAATCCCTTGGAAGGCCGATTCCAAATATCAACCTTACTCAGGCTGATAAATCGACGAAAGCTGGTTGTTTTAAGAGACATTTTAAGAAAGATATCTATAACAAAAACAAATGGATATGCGGTTGTGGCACATTAAACCCTGTTTTGTTTCCCGTGCTTACTGTTTTATTCAGATGCAGCGGAAAAGACATGGACAAGAACTGGATTTAAATATTTAAAGCATATAAACGAGAAAATTAGTAAGCATGAAAATTCGGCTCGTCACATGATTTGTTCGACAGAATTAGCTTTATTGGGAACAGCTAGTATCGCTGCTCAGTTAGATTCCGCTTACAGGCAAAATATTATTAAGCACAACAAGCAAGTGGACAAAAATAGATATCTTTTAAAAAGAATAATAAACTGTATAAAGTTTTGCGGTAAATTGGAATTAGCGTTAAGAGGGCACGACGAAAGTGAAGACTCTGAAAATCGTGGCATTTTTCGAGAGTTGATTAATTTTACGTCCGAACTGGATACAATATTAAAGGAACATTTAAAAAGTGCGACACTGTTTAAGGGTACTTCTAAAACAGTACAAAATGAAATACTAGATAGTATGTTGGAAGTCTGCCAACAAGAAATTCGACAGCAAATTAATGCAGCAGAGTTTTTAGCTATACAGTGCGACGAAACAACAGATATTTCACATCATTGTCAAATGGTAATGATATTTAGATATCTCCATGAAGGTGAAATACAAGAAAGATTTTGGCGTTTTTTGAGCGTTACGGACAAGACAGCTGAAGGTTTGGCAAAGTGTATCGAAGAAGAACTAGGCCCATTATTAAAAGATTCACCCCACAAATTAATTGCGCAAACTTATGATGGTGCAAACGTAATGAGCGGTAGCAGTGGTGGAGTTCAAACAAAAATCAAACAAAAATATCAGAACGCTCATTTTATACACTGTTACGCTCACCAACTGAACTTAATTATGCAGAGAGCAGCCAGCCAAAATCCAAAAGTAAAAGTGTTTTTTTTAAACCTGTCGGCAATTCCAAGTTTCTTCTCCAACTCCACGCACAGATGCGATTTATTGGAAAAAATAGTTAAAACTAAAATGCCAAAGGTTGCGCCAACACGGTGGAATTATAACATTCGCACAGTCAGTGCCGTTTTTGAGAACCGTGAAAGTCTTATTGATTGTTTCCGGGAGTTAGAGAATAAATGTGATAAAACAATTACTAGTAAGGAGGCATACGGTTTAAGAAGAGCACTCGAAGATTCTGATTGCATCTTTTTTTTGACTTTTTTTCACAAAACCCTACCGCACGTAGCTATTTTGTTTAACCAGTTTCAAAGTAGGAATAAAGACAGTGTACAACTTTTAAGAGATATTGACGTATTTGAGAAGGCCATTGTATTGACTAGGGACACTACAGAGGATATACAGCAAACTGTTGAAAATGAGCATGGAGACAATGGAAATAAACGCAGAAAAGTAGGACCCGAAGAAAGAAATTGTATTATTGCAAAAGAAGTTTGCGATATAATAATTGTACAGACAAAAGAGAGACTTTCTTACAGGGGTCATCTAGAAGCTGCATCTTTATTAGATACACAAAACTTCACAAACTATTCGAGATATTTTCCAGCAAAAATACTGAATTCAGTTGTGACTTATTATCCAATGGTAAATAAAGAAAAACTGAAAACCGAATTAGAAGTAATGTACATGAGGGAAGACTTCAAAAATATTATAGGTGGTTTGAATTTGCTGTCCCTATTGACTAATAACAACCTAGAGGAAACTTTTAGCGAAGTAACTAAGTTGTTGCAAATAATTATAACTACTCCCATGTCAACTTCCGAAGCAGAGCGCTGTTTCTCAACCCTTAAGAGGATAAAATCGTTTTTAAGAAACTCGATGGGCAATGAACGACTGAATGCATTGGCAATGATGTCTGTTAATAAGAATCTGGTACATAATATCAGCAATTTCGACGAAAAAGTGATGGAACATTTTATTTCACAGAAAGACAGAAGATTAGACTTTACATATAAACATTAAAAAATATTTTGTAATAAATAGAAGTGTGAAGTGTGACAGTTGAAACACAATGTTTGCTCTAGCTGTAGGTAGGTATACTTAGTCGTTTATAATACAATAATACATTTAGGTATACCGTATTTCTGTTCTCTTTTCCAGTTATTTATAGTTACATGTGTTGTAAGAAAGTGAAAAACTATACTTTTGAGTTGAGTTGTTCTTTTGATAATAGATGCTCTGTTGCTTTCATATTAGATGCTGCTTTCTTTTGCGATAAGTTCTCGTACCTAAAATATGTTTGTTCCTATACAGAGGACTGTACATAAAATATATAGGTATAGGATTGCCAACTGATCCATCCACAAAATCAGGACATAAAAAATGCAAAAAAAATTATAGCTCTAAAAATGTATATTTGAATTTGAAGGCTCAAAATGGAAGTTTTTGGGCGTGGCACCGTAAAAATTCTTTGCCTTCGGCGGTGACTGGGGCAGGCCACCCTTCCCTACAATAGCCCCCCATTTCTCACAGCCACCGGCCGCCACTGGCAGAGAATAAAACCAACTTTTTCAGATGGACTTCCAGCAGGGTCAGTTGTGCATATGACTCAAAAAGGAAGCATGACTACGGAGATATTCCTTAAATGGTTGGATCATTTTGCACAATTCAGGTCGCCCCCTCCAACAATTTTAATTTTCGATGGAGCATCAAGTCACCTCGATGTGACTATCGCTGAAAAGGCAGAATCATTGCAGATTGAGCTTTTATGTTTACCTAGTAATACTACCCACGAGCTCCAGCCAATGGACAAATCCGTCTTCCGGTCGTTTGAAGCCCACTGGGATCAGGAGCTTGTAGATTACTGGGATCAACATCCTGACAGAAGATTAAATAAAGAAAGGTTCTCAGATGTCTTTACTCCAGTTTGGGGTAAGTGTATGACCATCAGCAACATCTGTAGTGGGTTTAGAGCAACCGGGATCTACCCTTTTAACAAAAATGCGATACCGGAGTGTGCATTTGCTCCCAGTCTTCCTACGCAGCGCCACAATGACGAAAACAATGCGCCTAATTTGTCTGATGTTGAGATCAGTAATCCGCCTAGTTTGGAAGACCACTGGGACTCAGAAGATGAAATTCCATTAGCTCAGTTGATCGAAAAAGAAGCACAATGTCTAAATAACTCATTCGCTAAAGAGCTCATTACTCCCGATATGCAGCCAGTTAAAACCAAACCACGAAAAAAAGCCCTGAATTATCGAGCTCAGGAAGTAAACAGGGATGTTTTTAAAGATCCCAGTTCTAAAAAAATTAAAACCAGTGAATCAAGGAAATCGACTGAACTGCCGACCACTAGCAGAGCTGCTAGAGAAGAAGACTGGATGTGCTCCGTTTGTGATAAGGCCTTTGTAGCTGACATGCGATCCTGTGTATTATGTGGAATATGGGTGCATGAGGAATGCGTCGGCCTTACTGCAAATGACACCGAGGAATTTATTTGTCCGCAATGCCTGCCATAATTTTTTTAAGTACCTTGTTTACTCTTAGTCTCTCTTTTTTATGTTTTTAAAAATAACTGTTTTTTTGCTTTTTTTGTGCGTTAATTAACAAATGCTAAGTTGGGCCTTATAACCTGCCTAGGTTGGTAATAAGGCCAAAATGCATTTTTTTGTCATTCTAGTGTCTAAGTGGTATCATATGTTTTTTAAGATTCTGTTCATTAATATTTTTGTAAAACAAACACCTTAGTTACCTTTTTTATATACGCAAAGTCGAAAATGTGTATGTATTATTAAATAAAAAAGTAAGAATGTTAACCTGGCCTTATTACCCGACGGTACCTTATATTTTCTTTGCTTAGTCTGAATAGGGCAGCATACCACAGCTGAAATATAGCTTCAGAAACAACGAAAATCCCACCGACGAGACACAGATAATAGATGCTACCGTTCATTCATTATTATACATTTGGTTATTGCTTGGTGATCAGAGGTCAGAGATGACTGGCAAAGGTAACAAAACGTCATCTTTTTTTTGGGAACTGATCATCTTTCGCGAATCCCAGAAAATATACCCATATAGATCTTGAGATCTTGTTGTATGTTCAATTTGGACCAAAAATCAAAAACAGTCAGGCGATCCCTATAAAAAATGAGTGCAAGAATTTAGGACTCTGGATTGATTCTGATTTGAGGTGTGAAAAACACGTTAGTCAACTGTGCCTTGAAGCAATTATTTCCTCATAGGAAAGGTATGAATAGTGGTCTCAAGCTGAAGTTGTGCGAAAGCTTAATATGGTCCAGAATTCACTACTGTGACTGTATTTATGGGCCTGCACTAAGATCGATTGAGATAAGGAGACTTGAGACTATTCAAAATGCGTGTCTCAGATTTGCTTGTGGAGTGAGAAAATTTGAGACAATGTCACATAAATATCGTGAGCTGGGTGTTCAAAAAATAGAAGAGCTACAAAAAATGCACGTATTGACCTTGACCCATAAGGTTATCACAACACAAGGTACCCTCCATATCTATCAACCAAATTTATCAGATACTCATATGTTAATCAACTGAATACAAAGAATAAGCATATCTTGGTTATCCCAAGACATTCAACATCTCTATTTAAAAGGTCGTATGTATACAGGGTTATCCAAATTAAGTGTCCACCATTAGTAACTTTGTTATTAGTGAAAATACAAAGTTGTTTGAATTAGCAAACTAGTAGCATTTTTAACGCTGGTAAAAATGAGAAATAAAAAAAAACAATTGAGAGTCGTTATTTTGATTTTTTCAGTAAAATAACATTTTTTTAAATGGAAACCCCTGTATATTATATTTTTTTCTGTTAAAGCATCAAATTTTAAACAAAAAAGCTTACAATAACTTTTCTCCTAGGTTACAAATTGTTGAAGTTATGGCCTCCAATCTGAAACAATTAAATTGTATCGACAAACTTTATTTTCAACATCAACTTATAATCTTACAAAATACAATAACAATTTTTTTTAAAGAAGATGCTCGAAAACACCACCTTGTTCTTCAATACATTTTTGGGCACGTTTTTCAACTGCTCGAACTGTCTTAAGTATGGTCCTACCATCTATCTGGGTTATCTTTTCCCTAACTGCAGTCTTTAACGCGTCAAGGTTATCGTACCTTCGCTTGTAAATTTGGTTCTTTAAGTAACCCCACAAGAAGTAATCAAGTGGGTTTAGATCTGGTGATCTGGGAGGCCACTGTATTGGGCCATTTGTTCCTATCCACTGATCATTAAAAGTAGTACTTAGAAAATGATAAGTACCTCTGGAGTTGTGGGCAGGTGCGCCATCTTGCTGAAAATGCAGATGATGTCTACTTATAAGATCCAATTCGTCTAAGAAATTAGTCAGAATTTCTGACATAAATTCCACATATCTTTCACCAGTTAGGGTTCCCTCATAAAAGAACGGGCCAACAATTTTTGAACCAATTATACCGCACCAAACGTTGAAACTGAAACGGACTTGTGGGCCTCTTGGATGTACTAACAAAAGATTTTCTCTTGACCAATAATGGTGGTTTTTTCTATTAAACATTCCAGAATTTGAAAAATTTGATTCATCTGTCCATAAAAGGTAACGAAAGTTATTTACATTTTGGCGACAGAAGCTAAGATACCAATGGCAAAAAACAAGTCTTCTCTCTGGATCCCCTGCCAAAAGCGTTTGAACTGGTCGGTACTTATACGGAATAAATTTGTATTTTTTTAAAATCCTTTGAACAGTACCATAACTGAAATTAGAGTCCTTGAGAATATCTGCTATTGAATTCTCACGATAAGCTTCAAAATATCCAATAACTGCAATTTCCGTGGCCTCGCTTATTATGAATTCTTTTTTTGCCCTTGTTTTAGCAAAAACATTTTCGTTGCCCCTAAATTTTCGATAAAGTCTCAGAAAATATCGTTCATACGGTTGAATGCGAGCGGGATATAATTCACTGTAGTATTTCTTGCTCTCAAGGAGGATTTTCTGCACACTAAATAGCATTCTAACATATCACACTTTTCTTCATGGGAGAACATTTTTCTTTAAATTAATGACACAATAAAGCTTATAAACAAGTATTTACACTAATGTTTGACATTATTTGATTTTATCATTGTTTTCCAAAGCCTTCTAGTTGCGAGTATGTCCAGTTTAACAATTTGTCGCTTATCTTAATGCTGTCAAATCGCGAACGCCATGTTGTTTTCATAGCCGTCTTAATATTATAATACTGCAAATAATTAAAAATATTTATCGTTATTTTGACTTTATTTTTGACTTTAGCGGAAAAGTCATTATGAACTTTTTTGTTTAAAATTTGATGCTTTAACAGAAAAAAATATAATATACAGGGGTTTCCATTTAAAAAAAATGTTATTTTACTGAAAAAAATCAAAATAACGACTCTCAATTGTTTTTTTTTATTTCTTATTTTTACCAGCGTTAAAAATGCTACTAGTTTGCTAATTTAAACAACTTTGTATTTTTACTAATAACAAAGTTACCAATGGTGGACACTTAATTTGGATAACCCTGTATACTGCTATCAAGCTATACAACGCGTTGCCTATCGAGTTCACTCACTACTCTATGAAGAATTTCAAAAAAAGATTGAAGCTTTTTGTCTCTGATTTCATTGTCCAGTAAGTAGAGCATGGCCATGAATAGGGTCTCGTTACAGGTTTTCTTTTTTTTTAACTTTTTTGTTTTCATTGGGATTAGAAAATTTACATAAATATTTGTTGGGTTAAGTTGAAAAATGCTTTTTTCATACTTTGTATAAATAAAGCCGGACTATTATTATTATTATTATTATTATTATTATTATTATTATTATTAATAGGCATTCTCAAAGGATAACGGAAGTGCTTCAAATGGAAAGTTGAACTTAAAACACGTATTTTGAGTAAAATTATAAAGCTACCAAACAGCGTCTCCATGCTACTGGAGTGCCCTCTAACCTCCTTCTTTTTAATTGACACGCCAGCGAAAATATGAACCTTCTACTTCAGATTGCTGACTGTATACCTAGCAAACACAACATTGGCACACCACGGCAAAAAATAACCTGAGTACCAAACACAAAGAGTACTATTCTTGCAACTGTTCACGATATCAGGTCGAAAACTGTTTTAGATTAGGAATCATGCCTATATGATTACATTGGATTGTTTGTGGCCAAAATTGCGAAGTTTTAAAGCATTTCACTAATTTTTCCAATGCCTACCAAAGTGACTGCGTTGTATCAACATAATAGTAATACCTACCGGTGGAAACATCTACCTTCAATAGGCTTGTGCCGTTCTTTGCAAATTATGTAAGAAGTACAATGTCTTGAACTCGCCAAGCACCACAATCATCTACAAACACACGCATTTTTTAAAAATAATACTAAATATACGAACTTACTTGATCCCCGCTACGGACTATAAGAATGAGAAGACAAATAAATCCTTCACTGTCTCATTATACCTAGTCTGGATTCATTCTTCTAGACGCATATACAGGGTGGAAAGTTAGTAGTGGACCAATGGAAGTGGTAGAGAGCAAAACCTATCGAGTGAACCCCTATACGAGTATGTGTGGTCCGAAATTTTATAGTTCAGGAGATATTTGCGATTTTGTGAAATTTAGAAAAAAAGCGGGATAATGAACTTTTAATCGCAATTACAACTAAACAATTAGGATTAGGGCTGTGATTAATTTTGAGATGAGCTAAATGTTTTAGCAATGGTTATGTTACTTTTTAACAGAGCTTGTTAGAAATCGACGCAAAAAAATTTAAATTCATTTTTTTGTGTAAAATCTCATCCATTCCTCAACTTTGGATGGCGATAAAAAAAACTGAGATTGTATTTCATTATTCATTTTATTGTAAAAACTATTTCAATCCATGTAGAATAAGCCCCGGAAATTTCAGATTTCTCTTTATGGCGACTTACCGACAAATGTGGAAGATAATTTAATTTAACTAACTTTTAAAGAACATCTTTGAAATGGCCTCCATCATTACCTATGCCTAAGCGACACCTTCCAATAAAATTGTCCTTTAGTCTTTGAAATGAATTTTCGTTTTCCATAATGTTTGTTTTGCTTCTTCAATTTTTTGGAGCAGTTGGTTGACATTTGTATATTCAGATGTATAGATTATCCAGTTATAAGATTCCCATATAAAAAATCTAGAGAATTTAAATCGGGTAACCTTGGAGGTCATCGTATGTGTCCACCTCTACCTATCTCCAACACCGAGGAAAGGCACTGTCTAAGCAATGTCGTACATCCCGTGCGAAGTGGCATGGGGCACCATCGCATTGAAAATACATGCAGCTTCGACGTCCAAAGGTACATCCTCTAGCAGCTCATTCAAACTGCTTTGTCGAAAAGCAAGATATAAATAAATAAATAAATAAAAACGCCTTTATTTTAAACCCGGCGAAGGTCAGCTATGCTGTTAACTTAACCGAGCATGTAAAAAGTAACAACAAGCCAAA